CTGGTGGGAAGTGGTTTTGACTGAGGCGGTCGGGTGCTATGATCGGTGGTTGAGGTCGGACCCAATGACAAAGCTGAACCTGATGCCGCGGTTGCCTGTGGCATGTCAGCAGCAGCCTTGGTTGAGGCTGGAACAAAGGGCGCAAGCTATGTTGATGGAGGCTTTGCCTGAAAGCCTGAAGATGGAAATCCTCACTACGAGGGCTACAAGCTCGGTGCAGGTGATCTTCAAGGTCTTGGTGCGCTACCAGCCTGGTGGGCTGGGTGAACGGGCACACCTGTTGAAGCAGTTGGTTGAAGTGCGGGTGCCTACATCGGTTGGTGAGATGGTCACGCAGCTGCAGATGTGGCGCCGATGGCTTCGCAGAGCTCAAGAGCTCAGGGTGAACGTCCCTGATGCGACTCTGCTGATGGGGGCTTTGGACAAACTGTCCCAGCCTCGTGGAAAAGTGGCCACTCAATCGGCCTTTCGGCTCAGTGCGATTCGAGCCAACTGGATGCATGGTGGATGTCAAGCCAACGCTGGAGGGAGTGATCGGCTTCGCGGAGGCGCTCCTTGCGGAGGGTGAGACGGCATTCCACAGTGGAGTGGAGAAAAATGGTGGTCCAAGGATCAATAGCTCCTGGTGTGGGCTCTGGCGGTGTAGCTGGGGGTGCCAATGGAGTGGTCAACGGCCGTGGTGATGGACCTGGAGCTGCGAAGAAGGAGTGGACTCGGCAAAAGGAGACCACTGATGATGGAAAAGGTCAGGCATCCTCTAAGGGGATTTGCCGCTACTTCCAGTCCGAGGATGGCTGCTGGCGTGGAGCTTCATGCCACTTCGTTTACGACCTGGAGGGGAAAAAGGGAAGGCGCTGGAAGTGTGGATTTTCCAAGCACATGAAGAAGGATTGCAAGGTGCAGTCAGTGGAAAAAGATGGGGGTCCGCTGAAGTTGGATGGTAAGCCTGAGGTGCGGTCGGCCACCAAGTCCAAGCCAGCGGATGGGCCAGTTTTGGAGGAGAAGCCGGCGGAGGGTGCTAAGGACTCTGGAAAGCCGGGTGAAAAGGGCGAGGTCGGTGGGATCTTGTCTGAGGCTATGGGCCTGTTGAAGACCTTGCAGCTGCCAGCAATTAAGGCTTTGCAGCTGGAGGAGAAGGGTGACGATGTGAAGATCTCATCCTTTGAGGTGCAAGAAAAGAAGGGTGAGGATGTCAAGGCCTCGACCTGTGAAGTGAAGGGTGACGATGTGAAGATCTCATCCCTTGAAGTGAATGAAGAAAAGGGTGAGGATGTCAAGGCCTCGACCTGCAAAATGAAGGGTGAGGATGTCAAGATCTCAGCCCTTGGAGTACAAGATCGTCGAGCTCTTCTTGACGGTGGGGCGACTCACTGCTTGAGACAAGCAGCCGACGAGGCTGAATGGAAATCAGGCATTGAGGTCGAAGTGGCCCTTGCTTCAGGGACTGCTATGCTCTGTCAGGCAGATTCCTTGGACGAAGACCCTGGCCAGTTTGGCCGTGCTGCGGGGTGGTGAAGGCCCTGGGATAGCAGCTATGTCAAAGACCACGGTGGAGTGGTTGCAAAGGCTTCGAAAGCTCTTCCCGGAGGTGCCGGTTGAGCTGCTGGAGCGAGTGCTGCCGGACGATCAGTTTGATCCGGAGTTGCTGCCGTCGAATCGGCGTGTCAGAAGGCGGCTAAAAAAGGCCGATGAGATCATTCTCCACTTGTTCAGTGGTCCGGATGAGAGGGCCTGGAAGGAACTGGAAACCAAAGATCGAAGAGTCCTAATGTGTGGACATGGAGTTGCATAGGGGGCAGAATCTACTGGCCAAACACGTGGCTGCCTACATCCTGCACCTCTGCCTCTCTGGAAAAGTAAGGATGATTTTGGCGGGTCCGCCATGCAGAACGGTCTCAAGACTCAGGCACACACAGCCAGGACCACCGCCATTGAGGACACGCTTTGGCGCCGCAAGGTTTGGAAGGGACAACCTGTCGGACCAGTTGCGGTCGATGGTGGCGGATGACACGGTGCTGTTCCTGAGGGCTTTGACCTACTATGTGGTCGCCGAGGAGAGTGCGATTGAAAGGCCAAAAAGGGGGCCAGCTGTGGGATATGCGGTGGAAAGTCCACAAGACCCTGAATCCTACGCTCCTGAGGAGGAGGAGTGTCCAAGCTTCTGGGCATTCCCGGAGTGGAAGGCCTTCGCCGAAGCTTTCGAGATGATGTTGATCAGCTTTGATCAGGGGCCTATGGGCCATCAAAGACGCAAGCCTACCAGTATTGGTACAAATCTGGTGGCGAAGCAGTTGGAGGAGGTGAGGGGCCCTGGGCGATCCTACGGTCTTGGCACCACCTTGGAGCAGCGGCTAAAAGACTCAAAAAAGTGGGCGGAATGGGCGCCAGGTCTGAAGAAAGCACTCCTGGCTGCGGTGGAGATGTTCCTCAAGAGTCGGCGAGCGGCAAGGCTCACCATGCAGGGACCAGTGGGAAGCTCATTTGAAGACTGACCACCAACCATTCCGAAAGGAATGTCGCACCTGCCTTGAAACGGCTGGCAGGCAGCGGATGCACAAGCGGGTGACGAGCTTTGACCTCGGTGGACCTTTTGAGGTTGGGAGGGATCAAGGTGGAAACTACGGTGGAAAGGCCCGCTACATGGTTGTGGGTGTCTACACTCTGCCAATCGCCCCAGAAGGTGATGCTTTGCTCAAACCCGCGGATGAGGGCGAGCGGCGGGAGGTGGAGGGTGAGTTGTTGCCGGTTGATGAGGCAGCGGATGGGGCTGGGGAAGACGCCAGAGAAGAGCGGCCAGCTGATGGGGATGATGCCGGGCGCTGGACGGAGCGCATCGAGCGTGAAGAGGGCGTCAAGATTCGCCAGTTGACCTTCGTTGGCAGGCCACGGTGGCCTTGAGCACGGCAGAGGCCGAGCTGACAGGTGAGGTGGAGGCGCTGGTTGCTGGGAGAGCATGCCGTGCGCTGGTTGAGCTGTTTGAGGGACTATATGGTTGGGGTCATCTACAACGACAACATCGCAGCGTTGTCGATTGCCACTGGGAGGAGTGGGTCATGGAGGACGCGCCACTTGCGCATCCGGGCCAACGCCTTGACGGAGGCGGTGGAAAAGAAGGAGTGGATGCTAAGGCATCTGGATGGGGGCTACTTGGTGGCGGACGGGCTCACCAAGCAGTTGGCCGGAACCTTGCATGAGCGGCTCATCAAGGAGCTCTTGCTCAGGGATGGCAGGGAGGCTGCAGTGAAGAAGATGTGTTTGAAGCGGCTCAATCCGGATGTCCATGATCGGATTGTGAAGGGCCGCTGTGGCACCCCAGGGTGTCGCTGACACGGACGAGGCCAAGGGTGATGACGATGGCAGGAGCCGTTTGATCCTGATCGTGGTTTTGGTCCTCATAGCAGGCTACATCATTGGCGATGCCATCAAGCGGTATGGGCTTGCGGCTCTCCGGAGGATGTTGGGCACCGAGGACATTGTGAAGGTGAAACTGCTCCGCGAGGAGGCTTTGGTGCCGGCACGAGGCACGCTAGGGTCAGCAGGATGGGACCTGCGTGCAGTCGATGGTATGACTGTGGTTGGTGGGCACTGGACTGGCGATGGAGTTGCCAGTGGGCACCTATGGGCGCCTGACCTCAAGATCCAGCACGATGGTGAAGGGGATGAATGTTGGGCCTGGAGTCGTGGACCGCGACTTCAGGGGCGAGATCAAAGTGTTGGTCATGAATGGCTCTGACCAGCCATATGTCATCAACCCGGGCGACAGGGTTGCGCAGATGGTCATCGAGAAGGTCTATGAGGGTGAGCTCAAGACTGTCAAGGATGTGGGAGAGTCCCACCGTGGCAGTGGAGGGTTTGGCTCCACTGGAGTGAGGTCACTCCGACTGACAGGAGGTGGCGGATCGTCATGTGCTCGGGGAGAGCGGGGTCGAAGCCAGGAGCCGCCTACGACAGGGGTGAGGCTGAGATCAAGGGAGAGGTCAAGAACCAGGACCTTTCCAAGAGAGGCATCGCCAGAGGAGGTGAATGTGACTTACCATGATGATGGTGGCGCCTCAACACAGCGGGTGACTGGGGAGAAGGTGTACTTCAGGGCTCCCGCAATGCACACCACTTCGGTGAGGCGGCCTCCGGTGACTACCAGCCAGGAGATGGTGGAAGTTGAGGTCGAAGAAGAGCAGGAATTAAGTGGAGGCGCAGCCAACTACTTCTGGTTTGGCTCGGGTGCGATGGCACGGCGGGTGGAAGGAGCGCAGGTGTTCCATGTGCGCCGTGATTGCTCAGCCATCCGGCACTCCAAAATGGTTCTGGTTGGAGATCCAGAAGTGGTCGGCCTGTTGGGGCCGAAATGATATGGACACCGCAAATGAGATTGTGGTCGCCGACGGCACCGGGCATCGGCGGGATTTGCCGCGCCGCACCGGGTGGATGGAGGACGAACTCTCCGCCCGTGTGAGCGGCGCAGATGAAGGGGCTTGGGCCTGGAAGGCTCGTTTTTGGGCGCTAAAGCCTCCAAAAAGGGGGAGCGCTTGAGACCATTTGCACATGTGGTCTTGGAAGTTTGATAGGAAACTTGAAAACACTTGGGCATGAACCGAAGCCCTTTTGAAGCCAGGAAAAAGCGTGGCGGTGTAGTCACGTGCGAACTCGTGATATGTATATGTATGCATGTGTTGCGTAAACAAAAGTGTGGGGTGTGTCATGTTGGGTATGACGTGCTAATCAGCTAATCATTCCGTTGCATCAGGTCCAGATGCACAAGCCATGTTTATAACAATTTATAATATATATATATTACAGTAAATTGTATATATAGGGAGGAATGAGGAAAGCACACAATTTCTATTTTAACATGCAGAGTGCGTGGAGAAAGGCATACTCTATACTGAAAAGAGTAGATGTATGCATGGACAGCTCCACGCAGCCTTGGTATCACATCCAACATCCTCCAGTTGGCCTCGGGCAACATGTCTTCTCCCACTTGTGCTTCTTCATGCCTACAGGACGGCGGGTGGACACAAAGCTTAGGGCTGTCGCTGGGGCTCTCCAGCCAGAAAGGCCGAAAACGCAGATCCTTAAGGGATGCTGAAGCCAAGATGGAGCCAACGGAGCCAGCAGGTCCATGGCCGAGCACAACCATCCAGGAGGTTAGCCGTAGCCTCTTGCCGAAGGAATGACCAATACTGTAAATGATTCATTTGATTTTTTCTTATTTTTCCAACTTGAACCTCCAGATGACTCTAGTCAGAGGTCACAAATAGTACCATAAGACTTCCGTTTGCCGTGTTCTTGTAGCATGGCTAGGTAGCAAACAATTAGCGTCTCAAACTGTAGAATACATGTCAGCATAGCCTTTCGGGAACTGAGCAGCAGAACCTTCGAAGTTTTTGACACCTGTTTGCTCTAAGGAGGTTCTGTTAGTCCTCAAAGTCAATTGCCGAACACCAGAGATCTTTAATGCATACAGTGAGCTGGCCAGGTCATAAAGTGATTGGCGCAAACACGTGAACGGAGTTAAGAACATGTCAGTTCACAGCCTACTGCAACCTTTCAGACCTGGTCAAATCAAAGTCCCACATCTGTTCACGCGCCAGCACTTTAGTCCAGTAGCTCCCAAGTTTTCAACGGTAGGAGCAACAGCTATGTTGGTTTTCCAGCTGGAGCTCTTGACTGATTAGGGTCCGAGGGCCCTGCACTCTTTAACCGAACCTTTTGCCGCAAAATTATGTTTGTTCTGTTTGTTCTGGTTCAACAAGACTTTCAACAAGACAGTGACTTGATGACTTGACAGTGACAGTTCGACCTCGTGCCTGGCAGCACTTTCGACCTGCGGACCGCATGTTCGGGTGGCTAGTCGAGAAGCTCGAAGGCTGTCATGTGGCCTCAAGGAAAGAGCCAAACACGCGTGAAGCATGAAAAACGCGCAATGGATTGTTCAAGGCCTATTCAGGGGCTAGTCTTCTCATTTTGCTTTGAATGCCGGTTGCCACTGTTTTCTTGGTGGGTCCCTACAAACCCATCAGCTCCTAGCTAAACCGCACTCTCTCGACAATGTGGCCAGTAGGATCACAAAGCAGGAACTTGTGGCCCCCATCGATACTTGTTGGCGCAGAGGATCCCACGCGAGCGACAGTGAGAACACGTTCCTGTAGCCCAACCAATGCGGTTGATGCGTCGTGGCAGCACTTGTTCAGCCTCAAGAGCATTTGATCGCTCTAAGACTTCAAAATACTTTAAACTTTAAACGTAGAGGCTTTCTTTAAGTCTTTATTCTAATTTTAATGTCAGAGTCATAGCCATAATGTCATACTTTGTTTGAGGACTGCTGTACGGACTGTTTTCCATGAAGGGTTTCAGATTTGTCATCCACATATGATGGGCAAACTTCTCGGGGGTGACAAAACGAATTCAAAGCGGCAGAGTGATCATGGATTCCAAGTATGTTGCATGACACGGTACATATTGGACATGCGTAATATGCCTGGAAAAGCGTGGCATCTTCGCGAAGTGATAATTGATCGCTTAAAAGCTTTTGAAACACGTGTTGGTGTGGCTGAGGACAAACTGTGACGAAGAATGAAGTGTATCCTGGAGGGAGCACAACTTGGACAGTCGGACAGTTTCACACCGATATGAAGTTAGCGGCTTTCTAGGCCGACGTTTGGGTAGGCCTTGTTGATGCAAGAAACAGGTTTCTCTAGTTCTGGAATTCTGGAAGCAGAATCAGACAGATCCGTTCTGCTTGAAAATTGCTGAGCAGCGCATGTGAGATGAACTGCATTCAATTTCACACTTAGGTGAAGTGAACATGTTGAAACAAGAGAAGCAGGAAGGAAAGAGATTTGGTGACCTTTCACGTCCTATGTCAGTGAAAGAGCCTGGACCAAATTGAACCAGCTCATCCGACAAATGTTATGTATATACACTGAATATACTATAGTGACGGGCAAGTATATACTTAAAGCCAAACTTGGCAAAATGGAATACATTCTTTTCACAGGGAAACTGGTTCTAAGTGCATACACATAGAACCAAAACACTCTACTTAGAAACCACCAAAGCACTGAACATAATCAAAGTGAGGAATACGCAGAACTACAAATTTCTCAGGTTGTGCGCATGTTGTCTGTGGTGCAGTGTATTTGCGGTAGATCAAACCCGAGTCCTTTATTCCCCAGTTCTAGTTCTTGATCCTTATCACATGTGTTTTTATGGAAGGGACACACGCATACTTGTGAACCTGACTACTGTATAATGGCCTTTACTGGTTCTGAGTATATAATGGGTATCGTTATTATATGTTATTATAATTTATCTTGCTCCAAGATTGACCTCGCCTAAGTAAGCGGTCCCGATCGTTTGAAGAAAATCAGCAGGTTCTGAGTATGTGTCCGTCACTACATACTTATAGAGTGCTTTTGTCAGGCTTGGAAACAGCCGATGGAGAATCTATGAGAATCCGAGCCAATGTGGATGGAACATGCTGTTGGGGAACGACAAAATAGCCAATGCATGCAGGAGGTTGTCCCAATTGTGCACGAAGAACTACAGTACAATTTAACCATACATTATTCAATTTCTTTAGTTATCACACGTCAACTTCCTAAACATCAACATAATGTTGGGTCCTAGCCCCAGCTTTATAAATTTTTGACGATAGGGCCCAAGAGGGTTTGACGTATTTCGTTCAGTCATCCCAACTATTTCCCGAAACCAACGTTCACACTTGGGAGGGAGGGAGGGAGGGAGGGATGGCTTCCAGCCGACGGGGTTGAATAATCTGTCCATCTACGGCATGTCTTCTACAACTTCTGCAAGGCTACACTGCAAGGTAGAGGTCTCAAAGGTTTTACCTTCAAGAGACTGCCCTTGCAAATGATGCACAAGGATCAACCATCCCTTGTGGTACGAAGCTTTGGTTGGGCCACACAGGCTTTGAGCGATAGCTTTTTTTTCATTGTGGTTCGGGCACAGTCAGTATGCATAGCATGTCTCGCCCGTGTCAGCCAGAACTTGTGTGAGCTTGGCGAATTGAAAAGCACCGAGCAACGACCCAAAGGGTCTGTGCACAAATCTTTATGTGAGAGGAACATAGAGGAACTATTTCATTGTGCGAGTCAGTCCGCACAAAACAAGAAGTGTACCAAGCACTCTTGAAGGCCCCTTCGAAACTTTCGAAACCAGCCATTAACTTGGCGACGTTTGGCTCAAGAAAGAAAGGTCCGAGTGAATTGCACTCACATGGGTTATGAGCCCAAACCCGGACCTCTGCAGTCCACCCAGTCGAGGACTGGTCGATGGCCGCCATGGATCGTCGCCGTGCGGCATCCAAGGCGCGAAGGAGCGCCGATGAGCAGCTGGACGAGATGCTGGCAGAGCATCGAGCGAGGTCAGCACCACCTCGAAGAGCACAGTCTTTGTGTCAAACAGATGGTGGGTGAGGGAAGGTCCTCATCGAACGCCTCTTTCAAGTCCGTTCCAGAGGGCTCAGGTGTTGGTGTACAACCTGGTGATGGTGGCAGTGGGCAACCCGCTGGACAAGGACATCATCTTCAAGGTGGTCAAGGACCGGGCGCTGGCACGCAACCTATGTCGTCTTCGGTGACTTCGGGGACTACGAATGGTCAGAACCCTGGCATGCAAGCAGCCGGGACTATGACGAATGGTCAACATCCTAGCATGCAAGGAGCTGGGATGGGGACGATGGGAATTGGACCTACAGGACCATGCTTTCCTTGCCCCTACCCTGCTGGGATGGGATCAGGGGGTGGAGGTGGTGGAGCTGCTGGACCTCCTCATGGTGGTGGCCCTGGCAGTGGTGCTGTTCCTGGAGGTGCCGGAATATATGGGCTGGTGGCTCCGAAGAGTGCATGAACGAAAGCCTTCGCAACGTGGAGTTGCCGGCCAACTTGTTGACCTTCGGCGACTGGCTGGTGACCATAGAGCCACTAGTGTCAGATGTGAGCTCTTCGGCAGGAGACTGGTGGGCAGCAACAATAAAAGGGGTCGAGGAGCACTATGCGGTGTGGTTGTCCTCGGAACCTCTTCAACGGCTCAGGCTGGATCCAGGAACCTCTACGGCGGCAACCAAGTGGCCGAGGACGGAGAGGAGAATGACCAGTTTGCTGCTGCAGGCGGTGCCTGAAGTGATTCGGCCGGAAGCAGTGGCGGCGAGGAAGTTGAGTGCTTCGCATCTGCTGTTTACGTTGTTTGTGAGGTTTCAACCTGGAGGCCAAAGCGAAAGGATGAACCTCATCCGTTATCTGACGGACCTGAAGACTTCTGGAACAATGGCGGAAGTCGCTTCAAACCTGAGGCAATGGCGTCGGTGGTGGAACAGGGCACAAGAGCTGGCGGTGATGTCGCCGGACCCGGTGATTCTCGCGGGCGTCCTGACCAAGACCTCGGACTACATCGCCAAGACGGGCGCTCAAGCGGCATACAGGCTTGCTGTGCGCCATCAACAGTTGAACATTGACACCCGACCTACGACGGACGCGATCAAGACCTTTGCGGAGCTGTTGCAGGCCGAGAGTGAAGAGTTGGCTCATGGTGCAGGAACTACGAAAACGGCTCCTGCTGTGAAATGTATGACCTTGACTTCAACGACGGCAACCACAACTACGAATGGTGGAGGTGGGCCGGAGGCCAAGGGTGGTGCTGGAGAAGGCCGGCACGATAGTCGTTTTTGGTTGAGTGAAAAGGGATGTCGCAGGGGTGATCGCTGCAAGTTCAAGCACTCCCTGTTGAACCCCAAGCACAACAGATGCTTTCATTGCTCAGGTCTCAACCACACTCGTAAAGACTGTCCTCACATCGTCAAAACCAAGGAGGTGAATGAGGAGAGCGCGAAGGTGGCCTGAGTTGGGTGGCTTGGTTGGACAGGCCGCAGCGTTGTTGAAGTCGCTGCACTCCGTGACGTGGAAGGCGATCAACGTGAGGTCGCTGGACATGGGCACTGGGGCGGCGTTGAGTGAGTCTCTGGGTCTCCTAGACGGGGGAGCTACGCATCCTTTGAGAATGGCTCTGGACGGGGAGATCGAGAAGGCGGAGTTAGTGACGGTGGAACTGGCGCATGGTCAGATCCAGCTGCATCAGGATCCGACAACGGGAACTCTCCTGTCGCAGCAGCCGGTGGAACCTATAGTCCCGGTTCGGGGGCTGGTGGATCTGGGCTACAAGATGACATGGTCCAGGTCTGGTTGTACTGTTGAACACCCGAGAAGGGGAAAGATCGTGTCGCACCTTCGGGATGGATGCCGTGTGGTTCCGGAGAAGGATGCCCTGTTGCTCATTCATGAGATTGAGGCCGCGGAGCATCGCAAATATCTGGACATCGAGCAGGAGGACAACCTGGACCCCGAGGTGATGAGTTGGTGGGAACATCGGTTTCCTGAGGTGCCTCGACGAATCTTCAGGTACATGGCGGAAGAGCACGACCTGACCAAGGGGACGTTGCCATGGAACCGCAGGACTCGGAGAAGGTTGTGTTGAGGGCGAAAAAGGTGATCCTG